AGGTCGGGCAGAAGTGTCGATCAGAAGTGTTGCAGAAGTGTTGGCAAGAAGTGTCTATTAGACATGTTGCTCAGAAGTGTCTCTCAGAAGTGTCGCTCCGATGTGTCGATCAGAAGTGTCGATGCGCGCAAGTTTCGCTTAGAAATGTCGATCAGAAATGTTGCTCAGAAGTGTCGAGCAGTAGTGTTGCTCAGAAGCGTCGCTCAGAAGTGTCCATCAGAATGAGTGGGAGAGAGTGAGAAAGAGTGAGAGTGACTGAGAGTGAGTCAGAGTGAGTGAGAGTGAGAGTGAGTGCGAGTGAGTGAGAGTGAGTGAGAGTAAGTGAGTGTGTGAGAGAGAGAGAGAGACGAGAGCGAGAGTGAGAGTGAGTGCGAGTGAGTGAGTGAGAGTGAATGAGAGTGAGTGAGAGTGGGTGAGAGTGAGTGAGAGTGAGTGAGTGAGAGTGAGTGTCAGAAAGAGAGAGAGTGAGAATGAGCGCGTGGGTGAGTGAGTGAGTGAGTGAGTGAGTGAGTGAGTGAGTGAGTGAGTGAGTGAGTGAGTGAGTGAGTGAGTGAGTGAGTGAGTGAGTGAGTGAGTGAGTGAGTGAGTGAGTGAGTGAGTGAGTGAGTGAGTGAGTGAGTGAGTGAGTGAGTGAGTGAGTGAGTGAGTGAGTGAGTGAGTGAGTGAGTGAGTGAGTGAGTGAGTGAGTGAGTGAGTGAGTGAGTGCATGAGTGAGTGAGTGAGTGAGTGAGTGAGTGAGAGAGTGAGTGAGTGAGTGAGTGAGAGAGACAGAGAGCGAGAGAGAGAGAGAGAGAGAGAGAGACAGAGAGAGAGAGAGAGAGAGAGAGAGAGAGAGAGAGAGAGAGTGAGAGCGAGTGAGAGTGACTGAGAGCGAGTGAGAGATGAGTGAGAGTGAGTGAGAGAGAGAGAGAGTGAAAGTGAGAGTGAGAGAGAGTGACAGTGAGTGAGAGTGAGTAAGAGTGAGTGTGAGTGTGAGTGAGTGTGAGTGAGTGTGAGCGAGTGTGAGTGAGTGTGAGTGTGTGTGTGGGTGTGAGTGAGTATGAGTGAGTGTGAGCGAGTGAGTGAGTGAGTGAGTGAGAGAGAGAGAGAGAGAGAGAGAGTGCGGGAGAGAGAGAGTGAGGGAGAGTGAGAGAGTGTGAGTGAGAGAGAGAGTGAGAGCGAGTGAGAGCGAGTGAGGGCGACTGAGAGCGAGTGAGAGAGAGTGAGACAGAGAAAGAGAAAAAGAGAGAAAGAGAGAAAGAGAGAAAGAGAGAAAGAAAAAGAGAGAGAGAGAGAGAAAAAGTGAGTGAGTGAGTGAGTGAGAATGAGTGAAAGTGAAGGTGAGAGAGAGTGAGAGTGAGAAAGTGAGGGTGAGTGAGAATGAGTGAAAGTGAGAGTGAGAGAGAGCGAGAGTGAGTGAGAGTGAGTAAGAGTGAGTGTGAGTGGGTGTGAGTGAGTGTGAGCGAGTGTGAGTGAGTTAAGCGAGAGTGAGAGAGTGAGAGACTGAGAGACTGAGAGACTGAGAGAGCGAGTGCGAGCGAGTTAGAGCGATTGAGTGTGAGTGAGTGTGAGTGAGTGTGAGTGAGTGCGCGTGAGTGTGAGTGAGGGTGAGTGAGCGTGAGTGAGCGTGAGTGAGTGTGAGTGAGTGAGTGAGCGTGAGTGAGCGTGAATGAGTGTGAGTGAGTGCGAGTGAGCGCGAGTCAGTGAGTGTGAGTCAGTGAGTGAGCGAGTGAGCGAGCGAGTGAGTGAGTGAGCAAGTTCTCCGAGCAAGTTCTTGAGCCGGAGCTGCCGCGGACCAGGGGGAATCGAACCCGCGACCGCGGGATTGCGAAAGCAGGCGCGCAAAACACGAGGCAACTTCCAAAGGCCATTTCAAACCGCACGGCGCCGCAGCGAGAGCGCTTCGACGCGCACGATCTCCGCAGAGGGCTCGCCGAGACTAACGCGGGGCCACACTTAGCCGGTTGGGAATTAGATATCTCTTATAAATCGCTATAAGAGATAGCAGCGGGTTTATAAGGGTTACAAGATGTGGTTTAGGAGGTGGTTTAGGCAAGGGTTTAGCTAAAGTTTAGCCAAGCCAGCTAAACCTGTTAAGGTTTTTCCTTCAAATTCCAGCACCTGTGTGCAATTGGTGCAACAATGTGTTTTCCTACCGCGAGCGAGACATCAAGCAAAGCCGCAGCGGGCAGTCCGCGTGGCCCCAGAGACGCAGCTCATCTTTTTTCTCCTTTCTCTTTAGCAGTTCCACAGCTCGGATCAGAGCGCCCATTTGTTTTGACACTGCTTGTTAGATTCATATTTCAGGTTTTTGCAGAATCTGAAAAAATCACTTTCTTTACTTGAATATTCAGATTCATACTTTTTCAGATTTTCAGATTTTTTCAGAATCTGAATTTTTCAGATTTTTCAGATTCAGTTTTTCAGATTTTTTCAGATTCAGATGTTTCCAGATTCTGAAAATCTGAATCTTCATCAGAAACATCTGAATCTGAAAAAATCTGAAAATTCAGATTCTGAAAAAGTCTGAAAAATCTGAATCTGAAAAGACCTGCAAAATTCAGATTCTGAAAAATCTGAAAAATCTGAATCTCAATCTGATATCTGAGCACTTGCGTCCGCAAGGCGGCTCATGCATCATACTCGGCTGCGGCTTGCGCGGGTGCCGCGCGGGCTCACGCCCGCGGGGGCATGCGCAGGGGCGAAAAAAAAAACGAATGGTAAATGATTCGGCTTCCCTCTTGCATGCTGCATGACTGTGCTCGAAAAAAGCTAAGTCTGCTAAGGCTGTTAGCCCCGAAAACAGATCCCAAAAGCTATCCCCGCTAAACCGTATAACTTATAAGGGTTGCGACCATGTTTGCTGAGTGTTTGGCTTGGGGTTTGCAACGGGAGTTATAAAGCGTGTCATACCTAGAAACTCCAAAAGGCGAAAACTGCAGCCTGAGACTCGAAAAGGCGCCTTTTGCCGTCCAGCGGCGGAACTCGAATTGGAGCGGGTTGTGGCGGCGTTTTTGAATTTGTGACGGCGTTTTTGCGGTTGGTGGGCATTTTGCCTGATGTGGGCTGCTTTGCAAAAACTGCGCACCTTGGAGCGCGACTATGCAGTTTTGCCCGGTTTTGTGGGCTGGTGAGGCTCGGTGCGACCTGATGGGATACCCATTTGCTTTGCCGCAATAAGTGTTGACTTGCACCGGCGGAAACCTGCGTCCCGACGGCGGAAACGCGCGTCCCGACGGCGGAAACGCGCGTCCCAACGGCGGAAACACACGTCCCAACGGCGGAACTCGAACCCAAGCATCGCAAACGCTTTCTTGATGAAGTTCGTCCCATAATCCTTCACTAAGGAGTGATCCGGATGTCACAATTCAACCAAAGCCGCCTTACAAGAGGGCGAAAATCAGTTTTGAGTCGTGTTCAACGCTTCATGTTGCGACCTTTCAGACTGCTTTGCACCGAGGCCCTGAGCTGATTTGGATCAGCCAGGGGCCAGCGGCGGCTCTTGCAAACTGACGGCGTTTCTTGAATCCAACGGTTTTGTTTTGGTTGCGGCGGCAGAAATTCCCGTCCAAAATCACAACGGCGTTTATTTTAGCCCGACGGAGTTCTCAGGTATCTCCTATAATCCTTAGATAGATTCTGGTAAACCTTAGAAACGACGTATAAACCTTATATAGGTTTGACCAACTTATCTCGTTTGCCAAGGAGTTTGGCAGCTTATAACCCAACTTAGCCGAGATACTAAACGTTTATAACCTGGATAACAGTAGCCAGCCGGCTAAGCAGCGAGAGCGCTTTGACACGCACGATCCCCGCAGAGGGTCGCGCGCGCACCTCAGAAATCGTAAAAAGTCCTCAGTTTTTGGACATCGACCACGCAAATCCCCGCAGAGGGTCGTGCGGGCACCTCAGAAATCGTAAAAAGTCCTCAGTTTTTGCACATCGACCAGGCACCTCAAAAATCGTAAATAAAAATCCTCAGTTTTTGCACATCGACCACGCCAATCCCCGCAGAGGGTTGCGCAGGGCACCTCAGAAATCGTAAAAAAATCCTCGGTTTTTGGACATCGACCACGCAAATCCCCGCAGAGGGTCGCGCGGGCACCTCAGTAATCGTAAACAGTCCTCAGTTTTTGCACATCGACCACACCAATCCCCGCAGAGGGTCGCGCGGGCACCTCAGAAATCGTAAAAAGTTTGGAAATCCCCACAGACGGTGTCATTTTGGCAGGGTGGGTTCGGTCCCACCGCGCCGCTTTAAGAGACTAAATAATTACTTTCGTGTCCAAATGTCTCGTGCAAGTTTGGCTGTGTCATATCTCGTGCAAGTTGTTCTCGTGCAAGTTGGCTCGTGTAAGTTGGCTCGTGCAAGTTGACTCATGCAAGTTGGCTCGGGCAAGCTGGCTTGTGCAAGTTGGCTCGTGCAAGTTGGCTCGTGTAAGCTGGCTGTGCAAGTTGGCTCGAGCAAGTTGGCTCGTGCAAGTTGGCTCGTGTAAGTTGGCTGTGCAAGTTGGCTCGTGCAAGTTGGCTCGTGCAAGTTTGCTCGTGTAAGTTGGCTCGTGTATGTTTGGCTGTGCGATAAGGCTGGTGCAAGTTGGCTCGTGCAAGTTTAGCTGTGTGATAAGGCTGGCGATTTTACCGGAGGAACCCTTCGCAATGCTTTCGGGAAAAACATGATGAAGCATTTGATGACTCAGTGACAACTAGAAACGAAGAATAATCCACCTCCCCCAAGTGACATTAAACGTTTGGTTGACTGATATTGAAATCCCTTTTCCTCTAAAGCATGCTCGTACCGTTCTGCGGCTCTTTAGGACTTGTCAACCTTGGTGCTCGTTCGATATGCCAGTAACAATAGTAACAAAACACATGTGTGAATGTAGGCACGCCCAAGAAACTTGCCATTTTTTTTTGTCTCATCGGCATCTTGCAAGAAAGGTGAATGGGTACTTGCAAGGGCCTGGACACACATCCCATGCATCAAACGACCCACATGTCTGGCTTTGAAACGTAAGCCGCGCCTGCAGGCAATGCTCCAGGGGCACTTCCTTCCTCAGCTGGATGCAGACCCTTCGGAGACTAGCCCGCGGCCCTCAGAAACATCCAATGGCCCCATGGAACCCCTCTGAAGCCCATTGGAAATCTTTGCAACAGCCGATCCCTGCAACCGGAAACCCATTCCAGGAACAACTGATCCAGTGGGATCCACAAGACCTTCCGCAACCCTTCGGAATCCGCCGCAAACCCAACAACCGATCCATGGAGCCCTGCTACCCCCCATCCAGCATTCGGAATCCTGTCCGGCAATCGCTCCATGAAAAAAAAAAAAACGGAGCGCCCGCAAACAACACACACAGAAATAAGTCCAGGTGGTATGTCCAGCCCACGAAAACCCTGGCACGTTTCGGAACCCTCATCCTGATCACAGCAGCACAAATGGCTGAGCCCCTTGAACACCGGGCCTGCCCGCTGAAAGCACCTGAAATCAATGGGGCGGATGCAGTAGGAACAGAAACAAGGAGCCACAAAGGCAAACAGTTCCAAAAAGGCCTGAAGTTCAAAGGCCCAGAGTTCCAAAAGCATAGCAAAGTCTTGCTATGGTGCCTGCGAGCGTCCGCAGTAGCTGCCAATGACGAGGCTCTTCGCGACGGAGTAGGCGCTGCAGTCGATGCCCACGAAGCGCAGAGGTCCAGGTCCCTGAGGTGCTGGAAGCAGCTGGCAGGTGAGGAGCATGCCCAAGTCGTTGAAACCCACAGCCACGTGAGTCGTACCTAGCGACTTGCTCAGGCCGGTTTTTCTAGGCTGAAAACAAATTACAGGAACCAGTAAAAATTGATGTGCAGGCAGGATGCCAAAATGAAGGATGTCTTTTCGAGTGGTGTGATTGCAAAAGCTGGTCCGGATGTACTCGGAGTAGCGGTCAATGCCTCCCTCACGAAAGCGCATAATGGCTCCGGGTCTCAGATTCTTCGCATTCTCGGCCACCCACGCCATGCCTGCCGTGCCGTGATACCGCTTCATCAAATCTGCATCACTCCATTTGTGGCCGCTTTTAAGTGATATTTCCATCATCCAGGGGCTTGTTGTTGCGTGCGCGTATGCGTCATGCAAAAGGCTGCGGCACAGAGCGACATACTCCTGGCTGGTGCCCGGATAGCCAAAGCGCTTGGGGTACTGCTCATGGAAGGCAGGCACCTCGCGCGCCATGAGCGGTCCAAACTCTGCTAGCAGCTTCTTCTTGACATCCTTCGGGGCCAACTTGAACCTGTCCGTCAGCTTGCAAAGCTCGTCCGGCGTCGCAAACTGCTCCTTTGCTTTGAGCTCATTCATGAAGCCTCGCAGGGGGGCAGTTCCCACTGCGCTCCTCCATGAAGCCCCTAACAAACACTGGAAAACAGAACGTCGGACAATACCTGGCATCAAACCATGCTTAAATATCTTACTCGGATTACACGGAAACAGTCAGGGCAATGCAGCGGGCGGGTGAATAAAGCTTGGACCTACCTGTCTGGCACGCAATGGTGGCTCCGACAAGTCATTGGATCCAGACTTTCCTGTATTCATGTCCATTGTTTTGCAACCACCACCGTCTCTTCGCTTCAGCTGCTCTGCCGTAGTCAGTTCACTCACCTGGGCTCTGGACAAAAAGTCAGCTGCACTCATGCAAGGACCATACTACTTATATACTGACAGTCGCCCCCTTCCTTTTGGAATCCGATGGAGATTGGAAGGTCCCCCTCCCTGTCCGCCCATCAACAGCAAGAAGTATCGGCCCTTGCTCGTGCTGTCCTTGATTCCAGTCATGTGGTGGAACTGTTGTTGCAAAGTGCGAATGACCCATGCACAAGGCAAACCTCTGTTGTCACCCGACTAGAGATATGATGATCGAAGGAAGTTTAGAAGTCTAACTTCCGACAATATCGACAACTCAAGCAGAGCAGTGCAGAGCGAGAGATAGAGAGAGAGAGAGAGAAGAAGAGATGAAGAAGCGATGAAGAAAGATGAAGAAGCGATGAAGAAAGATGAAGCATGGTGTGCGAAATGTTAGAAAGGTCGCGAAATGCTGTATTTTTCAATGTTTTGAGCCTCCAGACGGCCCAGAAGTTACTTCGGTAAAGCGGCGGGTGCGGAGCCTTTGGTCGGAATTGCTGGCAAAAAATCGCACGCGGCCTGCGCGCGGTGCACATTTGGAAGTCAAAATCGTAAAAACACTACATGCTCGGGCTACTTTTGGAAGCTCCAACTTTCAAAAATCGCACGCGGCCTGCGCGCGGTGCACATTTGGAAGTCAAAATCGTAAAAACCTGAGAGGGTCGGGCTACTTTTGGAAGCTCCAACTTTCAAAAATCGCACGCGGCCTGCGCGCGGTGCGCGTTTTTAAGATGCAATGTAGCTTGACAGCGGTAAAACGCATTGGAATGGCAACGCGCAAGGCTTTTATCTAACTTGGAAAAATGCGTGGCGCCTGCGCGCGGTGCGCGTTTTTAAGATGCAATGTAGCTTGACAGTGGTAAAACACATTGGAATGGCAACGCGCAAGGCTTTCATCCAATTTGGAAAAAATGCGTGGCGCTTGCGCGCGGTGCGCATTTCTAAGATGGAATGCAGCTTGGCAGTGGTAAAACGCATTGGAATGGCAACGCGCAAGGCATCCTACGCTGCCCTGTTGAGTTAGTCGCGCTCTAGATAGATAGACAGACAGACAGATAGATAGATAGATAGATAGATAGAAAGCTGGAAAGATAGAGAGACAAGTAGACAGATAGATAGAGAGGTAGACAGGCAGATAGATAGGTAGATAGACAGATAGATAGATAGATAGGGAGGTAATGTCGCTGTGACCGTGTGGCGTTTCGGCTCTGTCTTGTCAGTTGCTCCGCGTATGTCATGTTTGTTCAATGTCCCGGTTTTCGTCACCAGCATCACTAGCATCACCACCACCACTGTTCATGTTTGTTCATGTCCCGGCTTCAATCGCGGAGCGGCAACTCACATCACCACCACCACTACCACCACTACACTTTCACCAGCACTCCCACCAGCACCACACACAGGCCGAGAACATGTTAATGTTCTAGTTTGTTGTTTGTCACCAGCCGACCTACCAGCATCACGCTCAGGCGGACAACCTCTTGATGTTTTTTTTTTAGTTTGTGTTCCCACAGAACGCATATACTTCCACAGACACATGCCAGTGACATCGTTTCCTTGTGTATCCCGCACGGTGGAGCGCGTCTTTTCTGACCGCTCCGGACGCCATGGCAGACGCATTTGATAAGACGGTGGCGTTTTTGGCAGCCTACTCGCAGGAGCTTGTGCAAATGAAGAAGCCGACGCTTACAGCTTTGCTCAACAGCAAGCGGCGCAGTCAGGTACCAGAGTGGGAGCGAGCCAGAAATTTCTGCAGACGAAAACTTTCAAGCTTGGAGCCAGCTCAGCAGCAGATTTTGGAAGACTGGGAGTTTGTGCTTTGTGACAAGTCCACGTTGGAGGCTGCGCCTTTTCTGGCCGGCCTTCAACGCTGCTTTTGCCGCGTGGAGGCATTTTTGACAGAGACGGCAGAGGCGATAAGATACTCAAGCAAGCCAAGCTTGCTGGCAGCTTTGCAGAGTCGACACATGCAGGAATTTCAAATGTCGAGCTTTTGCCGTGTTTTCCTGCTGCGCTATAGCGACCGCTTGGCGTCTGCGGAAAAGGATTTTTTGCTTGCAAAGGAAGCTGAGTTGTGTCAAGTGAGTGCTGCGGCAAAAGAAGCTGCAGCATCGCGTCGTGCTCCTGCCTTTGTCGAAGTGCAAGCCTTCTTCGCTCAGAATGCTGTTGAAATTGCTCAGCTACAGAAGCAAAGCTTGTCAGCTGTTGTCAGCAGCAACCGCGCGAATTCCGACACACGTTGGAAGCAAGCTAAGAATTTCTTCGACAGGCACGTGGCATTGTTGAATGCCGACCAGAAAGAGCATTTAGAAGACTGGGAGTTTGTGCTTTGTGACAAGTCCAAGTTGGAGGCTGCGCCTTTTCTGGCCGGCCTTCAACGAAGCTTTGCAAGGCTGAGTGCTTTTGTCCAAGCTTACTCTGCCGTGCTGCGAGCTCAAGAAAAGAGCTCCCTGGTGAAGGCATTGCAAAGCCTTGACCAGGGAGCTGATGTAAGCTCTTCCTTTTGTGCTATGTTTCTCAAAAGATACAGACAGCATCTGTCGCCGGAGCAAGAAGCACTCGTGCAAGGCTGGGAGCGTGACTTGTGTGTCTCCGAAACCGCTCTGGTCGAAAAGTTTTTGACTATGCTTCAGCAAAGAAAGGCCGAGCTGCAGGCACTGCGAGCTACTTGTGCCGAGGAGCTGTTCAGCGGCCATGGCAAGAAAGCCGATGATGATTTTCGCTTCGGCTATGATTTCCTCCGGAGAACTTGGTGCCATCTGTCCCTGGTGGACCAAGAGCGTGTTCGCAGGGCGCTGCAGCCGCTTCTCATCGAAGTGGAACACATGCCATTAAAGGCATGGCATGAGCCAAAGCTGCACGCCAGTGAGACAGTTTTAGGGGACCACTTGCCGCGGCCTCGGCTGCCAAAGAGCTTACGGCAGTTGTACGGCAACAGCATGGACGCCGAAGCCCGCATAATGCCGTTTTTCCACCGTGTGCATGAGGTGGACTCCTACATGCTGAGCATGGAGTTTCAGGACTGCCATTACTGCAAGGAAGGCTGGTTCGGCATTGCCGCAGGCAAAGGCAAGAGTGGCCTGCCCGGAGGCTTCGAGACCCAAGCGTTTCAGAAGACCAACTTCTGTCGGGCACCTGAGGCCGATTGGCTGGAAGCCGGCAAGCCAATCTGTGAGAACTGCTTGCACGAAGCCAAGGAACGTGCCAAGGCGATGTTGCCCAAGGAGCCGTTCCGCTTGACGGCGGCCAACCACGCAGATCCGGGAGAGACTCTCCCGGAGATCGATGCCCTGACTTTCTTCGAGGAAGAGATCCTGTCCCCGATCCAGCACTTGGTGCGGATCTTTACGCTGTACGGCACGGGCCAGTGTGAGCTGCGAGGCCACGTGGGCAACCTTTTTCAAAACGGCCCGCAGTTCGTGCGAGACATTCCTGCTGCAGTTGGAGACATGAAAATGCTCCTGATACGCCGCTGCAGCAAGGATGTGCACAGGAAGCAGCGAGTACCTTTTCTGGTCTCGCGCCGGCGTCTCGAGCGTGCCCTGAACCGACTGTGCCGGCCAGTCGAAGATGGAGGCTCCGCGGCGTTGCGCCCGGGTGGCCTGACTCCCGAAGGATACTGCGGCTTCGTGAACCGTGCAAACTTGGAGCAGTACTCCAACACTGAAGAGGGAGCAGAGCCTGAGGGCTTGGAGGTGCAGGAAGTGCAGCAGCAGATCTGGCCCCAGATCGAAAAGAGGCTCTTTGCGATGTGGATTTCCAGCACTTTGTCTTTGCAGCTGGCCTCGCAAGTACGAGCTTTGCACGAGCCGCCAGAGAGCGTCAGTGATGCTGACCGCATGGAGAAAACTTGGTGTAGCTTGAGACAAAAGCTCGACGAGCTGGACTTTGCAGCTGTCGGTGGCCCAGATGAGTTGGTCACCTCGACTCTCGTGGGGTACTTAGTCTCGCAGCAGCGGTGCGTCTTTTCTGACCGCCCTTTGACAGACCAGCCAAGCATGGGACACGACCAAGTTGAGCAAATTTTGCACGATGAGTTGACAGCCGTGCAAGAGCTGTCGGCCTGGGAGGAGCAGCCGCTGACTCCCGAAGGCTTTTGGTCTCCCGAAGACTTGGCGGGGCAGCAAACGCAGCAAGAGATGCAAGAGGATCTTTGGAATGCCTTGGGCGATGCACATCGCTCAGATGCGCTGGCCTCAGCCAGTCTTCAGCGCCACGGCGCAGGTCGTGTGGCAGGCCTGCCCATTGTGGATCCCCCCACAGTGCTGTCTCGCAACGTGCTCATCCGTGAGGATCACCCGTACTACATCGCTGCAGGGTTCCTCAAACTCTTTCCGCTGGGACAGGGGGACTACTGGGCCCATGTTCAGGAGCGAGCGGAGAACCAGCAGCCGCTCTCTTTCTGGGAGTGGATCAAACACATGCTGCTGCGAGCCGACGGTCGCTTCCAAGCGCACCCGCGCTTTTACTTTTTTGCCTTGAACACGGCCCTGCGTAATAAGGCACTACGCTCAAGAACTTACTTTGTGAAGCGCCAAGTCGGCCTGAACACGAGTGCTTCGTACACCAACGAAGAGTTGATGAAGATGGGGAAAGCTCAGTTCACAAAGGTGATTGCTGCTTTCGAGCAAGCCATGATTGGCTCGGCGCAAGAGAAGCTGCAGCAGAGGAGCGATCTTGAAGCTTTGGTAGAGCAGATTGAACAAGAGACGCTCGAGCAGAAGGCAGAGCAAGTTTTGGAGGTGTGGCGCACAGCTGTCAGCGCCGAGAAAGAGGCATTGGCGCCTGACTCACCTGTGCAGCAGGCACTGAAGGAGCAATGCGTGGCTGCAGAGCATGCACTTGAGGCTGTTTTGGGAGCTTCCGCCGTGACCGAGACTGCGTCTGCGCGTGTCTTTTCTGACCGCGTCGGCGACACAGCGCGCGTCTTTTCTGACCGCGCTGTGGATGCGTCTGCGCGTGTGTTTTCTGACCGTGTG